TATTCTCTTACACAAAGCCTCAACAGCCACTGCGGGTTTTATTCTGACTGCGGTTCTCAGGGCAGTAGCAAGTAGTCAATAGATTATGTCCACTGCAGAAATTCTCCCAATTCTCAGCTTTTTTTTTTTTTTTCCCCTAGACAGGGTTTCTCTGTGTAGCCTTGGGTGTCCCGGACTTACTTTGTAGACCAGAGCCTTGAACTCACAGAGATCTGCTTTCCTCTGCCTCCCTGTGTGCTGGGATCACAGGCGTGTGCCACTGCACCGGCTTTCCCAGCTCTAATTAAGAGAATTTATTACAAGTGTCTTTGCTTCCTCAAAAGTCCAGAGTGCCTGTATTTCTTGCCATTGCTTTTGAGTCTAGAGCAGCAGTTTTGACAGCAGATTGTGAGATTTCTCTGGCCTTTAGGTGGACTTGTCCTGTGACAGCCAGGGATCCAGAGTTAGATGTAAGGAAAAAGATCTTGGTGGCCAGGCCTTGCTCAATAGTTTACTTGTGAACGTCAGGCTGCCTGCTTGACCTCTGCCTCTGAGTCTGATTTTTACCCATATGTAGGTATATACCCACCCATCAGATGACCCAATCTAAAGAGGGCTCATGGGGAAGAAAAACAAAAGATGTATTTTTTATATATGCATATATGTAAGTACATACAAATATGTATTTTACATGCAAATATAAGCCTTTCACAAATGTGAAGATACAAATTCACGTAAATTGTCTTTATTAAATTTTTTTTACTTCCATTTAAAATTTTGTTTTTACATATACATTTGTTTTTACATATACTCTTAAGTATATGAGGGTCCCTATGCATGTATGTGCACCATTTCTGTGCCAATGCCCATGAGGGCCAGAAGAGGGCACCAGATCCCCAGGAACTGGAGTTAGAGGTGGTTGTTGAGCCACTGTGTAGGTGTTGAGAACCAAACCAGGATCCTCTACAAGAGCAGCAAGGGCTTTTAACCTCTGAGCCATCTCTCCAGCCCCAACTTCCTTCGGCCCTTCTTCTTTTCCTTCCTTCCTTCCTTCCTTCCTTCCTTCCTTCCTTCCTTCCTTCCT